GGGGGGGGGGAGACCAGAGTTGTAGCTCATAGTTGTAGATACTCCTCCCTCCTTCAAACATGGGCTCAGAGTTCACGGAAGCTCACCCACAAATGCAGATTTCATGATTATTTTCTTACCTGAATTTGTGAATTCGTAACAATTTTAGGTACACAAATGATGTAAAAACAAACATCTTTCAATGAACAGATGCCCTGTCATCAGCAGGACTCTTATCTCAGGCTGGTCCTTGTCCTCCACATGCTTTCTTCTTGTTCTTTTTGGGGACAAGTCGACTTTAATATGAGTCTGTTTGTTATTGAGCCAGTCTGTACCAGGGGAAGGAACTCTGTAAAATTAGTCAAAAATGGTCACTGTACCTAACACATGAATTGGATGATAGCAGAGTTAAGACTCAATTTGTTTGTATGTCTAAGTGAAAGAGGTGCATCTTCAACATGTTTATGTCTGGATGGGAAACAAAAATGTGTCATAATCGTGCAAACTGGGATGTTTAATCTAAAACATGAACACTAATGTGAAAGAATAGTGGGTTTAACGCGACGGTAATGTGGAGTTCTTCACATAAACCACCTCCAACTCTACACCTCAAAGACCAAGGAACTGGTTGTGGACTTCGGGAGGTCCAGATCAGGTCCACTGCCAGTTCAGACAGAGAGAGAGGAGGTGGTCAACGCATACAAGTACCTCGGGCTGGGGGTGGACAACAAGATGGACTGGTCATGCAACACAGAGCACTTGTATAAAAAAGGCCAAAGCAGACTGTACTTCCTCAGGAGGCGGAGGTCCTTCAACATCTGCAGGAAGCTCCTGAGGATGTTTTACCAGTCTGTGGTTGCTGGAGTACTGTTCTATGCTGTGGTGTGCTGGGTGAGCAGCACAGCAAAGAAGGACTCATCCAGGCTGGCTCTGTGGTCAGCATGAAGCTGGACACTCTGGTGATAGTGGCAGAGAAAAGGACAAAAGAAACTGTTGGACATTATGGACAATGCTGGGAATCCTCTGCACACGGCCATAAACAACCAGAGGAGTCTGTTCAGTGACAGGTTGCTTCTCCCAAAGACAAGAACCAACAGACTTAAAAACTCCTTTGTCCCACACGCCATCAAACTGTTTAACTCCTCTCTGGAGGGGAGAGGGAGGGGAAACAGGAGGACAAAGGAGGAGGGAACTAAGCTGTAGTGCCTTTTCACTGTGCAATACTTTTTGTTAATATCCAACGGTGCAATAGACTCACAATACTGTGAAATGTGCAATTCCCTTGTATTCTTATTCCTATTTATCCCTTTTGTATACTCTGTATTTATATACGTCTCTGTATTGTGTGTGTATATATGGTACATTTCTGCTCACATTCTGTAACTTCTGTCGGTGCTGTGCTATTGGAAACCAAATTTCCCGGAGGAACCCACCCGAGGGATTAATAAAGTTTTATCTAATCTAATATGTGACTGTTTTACAGTACTTTGCAAGAATCCTGTTTCCAAAGAGCCAGACTGCATTGTAATTTTGTTAAAAGCAGTCATTAGCAACAGCACTGCAGAGGTCAGTCCAGTCCTTGTGCCTGACCATTTTCAGAGGAATGCTTTAACACCGACTTATGAATTATTCAAGCATAACTCAAGGGACGAACCAGTGTTGTGTCTACAGAGTAACAGACAACTTGGCAAAGAACCCATTTTAACTTCTTTAAGCACTTAGATACTTGCAGCCTGTTGCAAAAAGACATTTTCCCCAAATTTCTTTAGTGTATCTATAAAGCTGAAAAGATGAAACCATTTGACAGCCCAAAAAACCCCCAAAACAAAACAAACAAAAAAACCCCAGGAAAAATAGTATCGCTAGTAGCTGAAAAATTGGCAAATCCCAGTCGATATAAGGACACACAGACGTTTAGTGTGTCCTTCTACAAATTTGAGGAAATTTGACAAACAAAAGCAGCCAAAGAAGACTTAAGGAAAGCCTAAAAACTGATCTACAGCAGAGGAACAGTATTCTGAAAGTCATGTCTTTAAAAGAAAAATCCATCCGTCTACTGTTCACTTACACCTCATTAGAAACAGGGAAGGGAAACGGAGAAAAGACTGAGGGTATGCCAAATTACTCAAGAGCTGGACTGAAAATCAGGTCTTATTGAGATGTTAATTCCACATTCCTGCTTTAAATTATTGTCACTAAGCGCAGACAGGATAAAACAGTGAGTGTCTACAACCACGTGTAAAACACGGGGGAGGCTTTGGTTTTGGGGTGCTTGTCAGCCAGTGGTGTTGGTGATGTTCCTGTTCCATCATGATGATGATCCCAAACACACTGCTAATACAGTAAAAGCAAAGACAGAAAAAGACACTGGAACAGTCAGACTCACAGTCAGCTTTTTTGTTTAGACCCAGTATGTATCCATGTATGTCTACACGTTTCAATACATTGTTGGCTCTAGACTTTTGCAAAGTACCATAAAAGAAACCTAAGAAAAAGAGCATTTCTCTTCATGTCACGCTGTTCTCCAACGACCATGAACGCACCAACGCTGTTGGTCACTCTGCATATATCTACCTTGATATTGTTTATTAGGTTCATGTCACACCGTGTAGCCTGCAATTAAATCTTACAGTGACCCGGCGCTCTAACAGGAAGTCTTTCATGCAACTCCTGTGACAACACACACAGAAGCACGTTAGGAGGCAGCTAATTTATTCAACTACTCTCTGGATAGCTTCCACAGTTCATGTATACTCAGACACTTATTACACATTCAAGCAAGGGGGTGGAGTTTCTAAACTACCCCCTCCCACCCAGGAGCTACAGCTCACATTATACACTCACTGCTGATTGGTTAACCCAGTTTGGGTCCAATCAGGGCCCTGATTACAATCACGTTCATTAGATTCCAGCCCATCACTGGGCCACACAGATTGATAAAGGCAATAAACTAGGATCTCATCTGAAATATTATTTAACATTTAAAAAAGGACACTGACAATATTCAGTTCAGAAGCGATCAGGATGCCCTAACAGAGAAATTCGTTGTACCAGCTGCCACCCTGGAAATGTCTTTCACTGAGTGGTGCATCTTTAACATCATCCACCCCACCCACCCCCTCTCCCCACACTAGCCTGCGCTCTTTACAGTAGTTCCCAAGTCACATGATCTATGCAAAATAAAGGGCTCTTGCATTACAATTTCTGATTGGGTTGTTCTTTTCTGACAAAATATGAAAATCTATAGAAAAAAATCTTCATCATTCAATAAAAGGTAGAGATATCAAAAAAAGAAAAGAAAAGGGGAAAAAAAAAGCTGGCTCTCCATCATCTTTCAGCTCGGAGGCCAAATTCCAAGGAGAAGAAATTGCACTTGAGCAGCTCAATGGGTCTTTGAGGGTTTTTGCCACCTCAGCAGCAGGGCGACGTTTCATTTCTTGCGGGCATGCTTGTATTTGTCCACGTAGGCCTTCACCAGGTTGGCCACCTTACCAGAGTTCACCTCCCCACTCTTGCTGTGACACACCTGAAGTGGAAGAAAAGCCAAACACATAAAGTCAGGAAATACCGATCCCTAAATGTAACAGTCTGTACGTGGTTGTTTTAAAAAGCAGCGGGCTTTTATTTGGCCTTCACAAAACCAAAAATATCTAATGTTAGCAGCAACTGTTGGCAAATACACTCAATAATGAGAACAATAATAAGCTAGCTGCTCTCAGAGTTTGTGTGAATTACACCTGGCTACCACACAGCTAGGTGTCTGTATTCAATATAATTTAAAGGCCGTGTATTGGGCTCTGATTGCATTAAAAATGCAGATGACAGTAAAAGAAATCTGAGGGTTTACCTTCTCTACTGCCTTGCGCACAATCTCCTTGTACTCCTCCTTTGTAATCTCCTTCTTTTGGTAAAATGGTTTGATGGCTGTCTTCACTTCATTTATAGCTTTCTCT